AAGCTCTTGTATATTCATAAAAAGCAATGTGGATTGAATTTCATAAACTTATTTAAGCTTTGAATTATTGTTTAATGTCATTCTAAGGTATTTTAATTTTTTTATTTTAGAAGAAAATGGTGTATTTATTAAAACTACAGATGATACCACAACAGATAATTACATTGCACAAGGTATGCATGTGTATATATGTACATTTGTATGTGTCAGAGGAAAAAGGCATGTAGTAGAAGGGCAGGAAGAGAAGAGCTTGCCTTGACAGCCTGCTTAAAAACACATTTTATCATACGCTGACAACCAAACTAGTAAAACTTTTATTTTTTTTTGAGATAGAGCCTCAAGCTGTCCCCCTAGGTAGAGTGCCATGGCATCACAGCTCACAGCAACCTCCAACTCCTGGGCTTAAGCGATTCTCTTGCCTCAGCCTCCCAAGAAGCTGGGACTATAGGTGCCCACTACAATGCCTGGCTTTTTTTTTTTTTTAGAGACAAGTCTCGCTCAGGCTCAGGCTTAGGCTCGTCTCTATTCTAGATGCAATACTCGTTCAGTGTTTTTAATCAGAATCCTTAAGTTTGTTTGCTACTAGAGATTTTTGTAGGAATTTGAGATTCTTTTTTTTGAGATAGAGCCTCAAGCTGTCCCCCTAGGTAGAGTGCCATGGCATCACAGCTCACAGCAACCTCAAACTCTTGGGCTTAAGCGATTCTCTTGCCTCAGCCTCCCAAGAAGCTGGGACTATAGGTGCCCACTACAATGCCTGGCTTTTTTTTTTTTTTTTAGAGACAAGTCTCGCTCAGGCTCAGGCTTAGGCTCGTCTCAAACTCATGAGCTCAGGCAATCCACCCACCTCCTTCTCCCAGAGTGCTAGGATTACAGGTGTCAGCCACCACGCCCAGCCAAAATTAAACATTTTTACTTAATTCCAGATGCATGCTGGGTGTAAAGAAAAAAAACTTACTTCATAAACTCTTTTTTAATTTCAGTATTACTCTATCCTATAATGAATTACAATATATCTTAGTTGTGGTTAAATTATGGTACTTTTTTTTTTTTTTT